TGTTGCAGACCCCTTGTGTTTGACGAAGCAATGCTGAGTGGGGTAATAAGGTTGTTTTTGACGCAGTGCTGCGTAATTAAATTGTGGATTAAACCTTCCAACACCTTACAGGGTACCGAGGTTTTGGAAACGGGCCGGTAGTTGCTTGCTTTTAACTTATTTCTTTTTTTGAAAATAGGTGTTACTTCTGCTTTCCTCCATTGATCTGGAACAAAGGATGTTAAAATAGAAGATTTAAATAACATGGTTAAAGGTATTGAAAAACCTTCTGCGCAATTTTTTAAGACTCTAGTATAGATTCCATCAGGACCTATTGCTTTTGAAGGATTAAGTTTAAGTAGTCTGTTTTTGACTTCTTCATATGTAATGAAATCGATTCTGCTGTCACAAGTGACAGGAGATCGGTTTAAAAAACTTGGTAGAGGTCCTTGCGGCTCTACTTCAAATACAGCATAAGAATAATCATTCAATGTCTTACATATGTTAAATATGTTATCGGTCACCGATCCATTGCTGTCTTCAAGTAAATAGATTTTATCATGGAATTTGATTCTACTTTTCACATAAGAGTTTAGTCCCTTTGGGTTATTTTTAAATGAAGAAGTTAATGCCTCCTCATAGTCAATTTTTACTTTTTTCACAACTTTTGAGACGGTTTTTGCTGCTTTGCTATATTCTGCTCTGATAAGTTGGTGCGTCCCTGGTCCTGCTGATACATATTTACCCCAGAGTTTACTCTTGTTTTTTACAGCTTCCATGACCTCACTACTAACCCATGGATTTTTTTTGGCTGGTATGGTTTTGTGGTACTTGGTATGTAGAGTGAAGTAGCTTCATTATATTTTTCAATTAAAAGTTTGTATTTTTCGGCCTTTGATGTACTTTTGAATAATGCCTCCCAGTCATAACTTTCAATATAGTTCAAGATAGATGTATAGTTTGCCTTGCTCCACACTAATCGAGAAATTATAGGTGGTTCATTGTTTGTTTTTGTTGCTGCGAATGAACCTACAATAGTTAGGTGAGCTTTCCCTCGGTTGATCCCAAAGGTTCAGCTTGAGTTAAGAAAATTATTCTGTTTGGCTCATTGGTTATAACTAAGTCCAAGATAGACTTTGGTTCTTCAAAACGTGAATTTCGAAATGTTTGGAAAGTGATAAGTTGCGTAAGATTGTTTTCCTCTAAACAAGACTTGAACTTAATGACAGGTTAGCTCTTGATCAGTATGTTGACTGCTGTCAAAACACCTCCTCCAACGTTAATACTTTCATAGCTAATGTGTCTGAAATTAAAATCACCATAGGGTAGTAAGGAGTCGCAACCGATTGTTTTAAGGGCCTTTGTAGCAGTCTGAATTGATTTGGTAATTTCTAGGAGCGCAAGTTCATCGTTATTTGGTGGTCGGTAGATACACCCTAAAAAGAGTGATTCATTTTCGAGTTTCAGCTTTATCCATATCTGTTCAATGGTATTTTTGTTAAGTTGTTCAATGTTTGTGAGCGTGCACTTGAGATCAGCTTTTACGAAAATAGCTACATCACCTCCTATTTTTCCGACCCTGTTTCGTAAAAAAATGTTATACCGTGCAATAGCAGTATCTGAAGCATCAGTAAACCACGTCTCAGCAAAAAAAATAAGATGTGGGCGGTTATGCTTGGTGGTTGTTTGTATTCTGGCTTTCAACTCGTCAATTTTTGTTTGATTTAGTGAGCATGGATTATTTGCCCAAAAATTGATGTTACTGAGAACTTTTAATGAGTAAGTTTTAGGTAATTCGGGCTGCTGAGGTATGACAGGAAAACTTCGAATTAATGGTGATTTTCGAGTTGGGCGTTTTCTTTTAAGATTGACGCTTGGTGGTTGTAACGATTGGAGTTGTTGAGAATGAGACTGTTGAGTTTTTTCTAGCTGGGGTGGGGGGCGAACTTCCATTAATGACATTTGTTGTGAAATTTGGTTTTGAGGCATTAGCAATTGCATCTGCAACGATCTTGATGTTGACAAAGACTGATCTTTTGTGAGCAGTTGACTTTTGTACGTTAATTGGTTTAACACAGTTAAGGCGTCGATGTATAACGAAACGAAATAGCGAGTCGAGCAGCTTTAAGTTTGCGAGTTCATTATTTCGTTCTTTTTTTTCACGATTTAGTTTGTTGAATTCGTACTGTTCTGCCACCGTTCGGTCTTCTCTAGCAAACACATCCTTATACTCAGGTGTGACGAGACTGTGGTGCCTGGCTTTCGACAAGACTATGGCATGCGATTCAGGGTCTTTGACTGTGACCTGCATGAGCTTGGTTTTTCTGATTTCCGTGTCGAGTTTTTTATGATTAAAACCTCTGACTCTCACAATAACTGAAGTGTCGATACCAACAGCTCTAAAGAAATTTTCGGCTGCCTTTTTATTTTCGTCATATTTGTCTGAGACCTCCAGTCCCACCACAATTACACTTGATTCTTTTTGCTGTCTTTGTTTCTGCTCATGTGCTACTTTATTTAAAAATAGATTCTGATCATTTTTACTTTCATTAGATTTGTTGTTAAAGAGTGATGAGAATGATACCGGTTGAGGTTTTTTTAGTTCGCTAAGAGATTTGTGTAAGTTTCGTTTTCTGCTTCTAAGGTCAGAACTTTGTTTTCTAGAATTACAACGAGTACTTTTACAGCTTTAAACTCTGCAAATCTAGTCTGGTTGCTCTGTTTTACCGGGTCCTGTGCTTGAAAGTGCTTCAGGTTCATTTAGACTAGTGATGGGAGTTGTACTGGCTTTGTTCAGTTTTATTTTCGTGGACATGTCAGGGGCGGATCCAGCATTTTTTGGTGTTTGAGATAGCTTACTTCCAGACATGGAGCAAACTCCAAACATTTACATGTTTATACTTATATCAAGTAAGGATGGTTTGCAAAAATTTGCGATGATTGGAGCCTGGGAACAAAAAAGCCCCAAAATTTGAGACGTACCTGCCCCAAACGTGACAAAATCTAAAACTTATTATTTAGAGCAACAAGTTGATAAAATATTTTTTGTACTATTCTCAACAAGAATTATATTTATCAATAAATTTTAAATTTCATAGTAAAATATTTTAGCGCTTAAAAATTATGACCATATAAAAATTGTGACCCCCTCGAATTGAGGGGGATTCAAACTTTACATGGTCATAATTTTTGAACGCTGAAATATTTTACAATGAAATTTAAAATTTATGGATAAATATAAGTCTTGTTGAGAATAGTACAAAAAATATTATATCATCTTGTTGCTCTCACGTTTGGGGCAGGTACGTCTCAAATTTTAGGGCTTTTTTGTTCCCAGGCTCCAATCATCGCAATTTTTTGCAAACCATTCTTATTTGATATAAGTATAAACATATAAATGTTTGGAGTTTGCTCCATGTCTAGAAGTTAGCTATCTCAAACACCAAAAAATGCTGGATCCGCCCCTGCATGTTTTACAGCAGAAAAATAGTAGTAATAAAATATGTACATACACATATATATAAACTTGTATATGTGTATATAGAAACAATATATATTTCTTTCGTAGATATGCATTAAAAATAAAATAATGGGTATAAATATTTTGCTAATATATAATGATAAGTTTCCGTAATTATATTTATCAATTAATAAATAAGTTTTAGATTTTGTCAGAGACAAAAAAATGCAAAAAAAAAATCAGAGAAAAAAAAAGTTGAAAAATTATTCTCAAAACTTATCGAATAGAACAATAGATAAGAAAATATCAGCGCGCTAATCTTTGGCGTTTAAAACTACGAGTAAAAAAATGAAAGGTATAGAAAAACTCTTTGAAACAAGTAAAGAAAAAAGGAAAAAAAAAAAAAAAAAATTAAACTATGGAAAAATATAAGCGAACTAAAGCTCAAATAAAATCTGAGTTGTAACTGTTTTTATAATAATAATATATAAATAAAGATATATAATTAAATATAAGTATAGGTATATATATAAATGTCTAGGTGTGCGCAGGGGCGGACTTAAACCCCGTCAAGTGCTGCAAGTGACGGGGTAAAAAATAAAAATAAATGTAAGTATTATGACGTCTAACGCCCGCCTAAAGTTAATTGCCGATCTATATATTTTTATTAGAAAATATAATTAGAAAAAGTTTACAGTGAAAACTATGCTTTGCAGACGTTTCAAAAAGTGTTTTATAAAAATTGCTAATGTAAACTATACTTTGCAGGGTATTAGAAAATTATTTATAAAACTTGCTAATGTAAACTCTACTTTGCAGGATATGAGAAAATTGGATAAGTTCATTGGTTTACGCTATTAAAAGTAGCAATTTGATTCGTTAAAAAAAAACCATGTTTAGTGTAAACTATCCTTTGCAGCATTTGCAGCAGTAATTTGATTGGTTGCAAAGATCGATAAACAACTCAAAAGAACTCAAGGAACTCAAAGAATTCCGTTCTAAAAACTATTATTTCAAAGTATTTCCTTAAAATTTTAACGTATAAGCATGGCTTACAACTTGATTGATAATGTACTTAAAAGATTTAAAACCGATAATCTTGCCGATTTAAATACTTTTTATGAAACTTTATTGGATACATTTATTTACAACAATAACAAAATGGTTAGTAACGAAGGTCTTTTAAGTAGGTACGTGGACTGATTTTTTTTAATTGAACATATACTAGAATGTTATATATCATTAGAAAGCCCTTCAAAAATGTATTTTAATGGTGAAAAAATTATTAAAAACGAACAATTTAAAAAAAAGTTATGACGTTTTTAGTAGCAAATTTTCGATATATGGATTTCTTGAAGAAACTGGTTCCAAAATTAATTTTTTTTTCACTGAAATTGTTATAACTTTGTCAAATCTTATCCAAACGCCTATACCTTGGTATCAAAAGATAGATGTAATAGTAGGCTACAAGTTCATATAGCTCTATAGATAAAAGGGGTGTCTAGAGGGCCAGAGAGGGTAACGGAACACCGTCGAAACCTTAAAAAAATGCATGTTTTTCACACGAAAGAGTATTTTGCTGATAAAATTTGTTATCTTTATACACAAAAAGTTGTTCTAATTTGCTTCCATTACTTTTCCAAATATTATTGGTCTATTTTAGATTAAAGGGTGGATGTATTTGTTACGTTTTAACACCCTTGTAGTGAAATGCTACCATCTTATAAATATTTGAGCCTAAAAAACACTGATTATATTTTGTGTTAAAGACTTTAAATTATATTTTTTTACTTAACAGAATATACAAGTGGTGCATAAATTGACATTAGAGGCGGAACGATGCCAAGCTTAACTCCCCTCCCCCCCCTTCCTCTCAGTCTTCTCCAACCTAAAAAAAAATTTTAAAAGATATTTAAAAAATGGTTTTAAACTGAGTTTATTTAAAAAGAGAAATTAGTATTTAAGATTATTTTACCATGTTAGTGAGGGGAGGGGTGTGTGCCACGCCCAACGTCCCCCCCCCCACCTCTTCTTATTTAAACTTTAAAAAAATGTCAATAAAAATTTCAAAAATGTCTTTAAATTGTGTAAAAAGCGAGACATAACTTTAATAATCTTACCACATTACAAGATGCAGGTTGGAGTAAATTAAGACAGCATGGAAAACAAACTTGATAATGTTAAATATATATTTTTAATACAAAAAACTTCTTCTTCAACTGCTACCATTCTTTCTTCGCCTACGCCCTCCTCCGTGGTGATATCCCCTTCTGCACCATATGTAAGATCAATCTTTTTTTACTGTATCCGCAAACATAACTCCACTTTTTTTTGAACCTATATATATATATATATATATATATATATATATATATATATATATATATATATACACACACAAAGAGTTAATATACCATATTTTTAATTTAATTTTTTGAAAAGTAAACAAACAATATATCAAAATTTGTTAATAATTAATAGCATTATAATACAACATGTAAAAAAAAATCTCATACATACCTTCTGCAAACAAGTAATTGTTACGTAAATATAATATTTAGGAACTGTAAACATAAGTTAACCTGGTTTAAAATCAAACAATTAAACTGGTTTAAAACCAATTAATATTCTTAACTCAAAAAAAAAGTATATAAACCAAACAAAATAAAGAACAGTAATTAGGTATGGAAAAGATATTTAACATTTATCAACTCAATAAAACATTACATATAAATTTAAAACTGCATTTAATATAGGCTATGAGAAAACCTCAAAATTTCAAAACCTCAAAAAATCCTAAAACTTTTAATTACATTGAAAACATACTAAACAGGTCCCTTGCAAACTACTACATCTGTCAATGCTTTGCTTTTAAACCATTTTGTGAAAGATTTGAAATAAATAAATCAAATGTTAATAATTGCAAAAATTCGGACAAAATGGAAAACAAACTTGATAATGTTATATATTTATTTAAAAAAAAAATAAAGGAGTGGTGGCGCCTAGTAATAGTGGATGCCACCATTCACAACAAGGCCGCCACCATTCCGTCTTCGCCCACGACCTCCTCCACGATTTCCTTTTCTGCTGGAGCTTCCAGCACCCCTGTTAGGTGAATGATAGGCCCAGCTGAATGACTCACCATCATTCCCTCCTAACCGGACCCACCGCAAAAATGATCGATTGCTCATCGGTCCAGGGTGCTGGTCCCTATATCTTCTATAGGCACCATAGGTAAGCTCTAAAAGACAATAAATTGTAACTACATTAGTATTGAATGGTAAAAAATAACAAATAATACAATCCAATTATTTGATTGGCTGCATTAATAAAATTAACAAATAATAAATCAATGATAGCTTAAAAAATGTTAATTAAAGTAAAAAATCAAATACTGCTCTGGGTTTATACTTCTACTGCACTTTGAAGAATAACATAATATAAATGTACTAATTTGTGAATATAAATAAAAATATAAGGAATTAAATAATCATTCAGCAACATTTCTAAATCATAAATTTACCAGCAGAAGGTTGTGTTAATTGTTGTGGAGGTTGTGGGACTAAAGGTAAAATTTTTTAAAAATAAAAATACAATTTACTTGCTATCGATAAGATATGCATGCACATATTAGAAAAAATACTTTTACACATGTAAATTATGCATACACATATTAGAAAATAATAGTTTATAAACGTACCACTTGTAGCAGCTGAAGATGTAACTAACAGGCTTTTTAAAGGATGCAATAAAAATATTTTTAAGCTTACCACTCAATGCAATTGAGGATGGAACTAGAGCTAAAAAGTTTTAATAAAAAATAAATTTGCAATGTTCAAGAAATGCAAAAATTAAAAATTAATAATTGCTAAACTTACCACTAATTGCAGATGAAGATGTTGCTAAAGGTAAAAAAAGTAATAAAAAAAATAAATTTTGCAATTGACGATTTTGAAATTGGTATTAAATCTATTTACAGATAAAAAAGTACTAGCTTTTAAAATAACTAACCGTAGCAACTGATAAAAGGAATGAAGATCAAAAATAATATAAATTAAACCAAGATATACATTCTTATATTTGATAATCTAGTTATCCTATACAAACTTACCTGTGGTAGGTTACAAACTTACCTGTGGTAGGCTGGGTAGATTAAACTAAAAATAACAAAAAAAGTGTATAATTACAACAAAACACTATGAAATTATGAAAGAATCATAGTTATGTGGAAGATGCAACAACTGTATTAACATAATGAAAACTAACAGGGAAAATGTAAAGAAAATATATTAATAAACAACAAGCTAACATTAGGAATGGTTATTCACTTTGTTTATATATTAATTACATTATATTGGTTGTGGTTATATATAAAATATGTGATTTATACTTACGATATCTCAAAAAAGCTTCATAATGTGCAGCAGGATCTAAACAACATGTAAACATTAGGCATGCTTGTATTATGATTTAAATAATAATCCAAAGATAAAGAAGTACACAATCCAAAAATAATAAAAGATGATAATAAGATGATAAGTTTTATTATATTTGAAAAATGCTAACAGGATTTTTGCAAGTAATAAACCAATGAATTATCTGATTTGTATGTTGTGTCATAATAAAATTGACAACAGATACTAATAGTTAACAATACATTCAAAAGCAAAGTTTTAAATTGAAGCATTAATCTTCTTTTTAATGTAACATATAAAAACAGATTAAGAATTAATCTGTTTTTATAATATAAAAACAGATAAATTATAGTTACATAAAAAAGAATTTTAAATAAGAAAATATTAACAAATGATATATAAATATTTTTTTGATTTAAAATAGTTATTATTGATATTATTATAAAAAAAATTAAACTTACTATCTGTTATAGATCTAACAACATCTCTGTTAGTATTCATTATTTATTTTAATCTAAAAATAAAATTCAAAATAATACGATATTGGGATTTGTTATGTTTTTGTATAGTCGGCCCCCCTATCCACACCCGTAACAAGCTTAACGAAAAAAAACAACAGAAAAACCAAAATTTTGTACCAAAAGTCTAACACCTAGTATACTATCTGCTACCAATTATTTTTCGTTGATTTTTGGCAGGTGCTTAGAAAATGCATGTAAAATATAGAAAAACTAACAAAAAAAGCCGGCTCAACATTCCTTCGACATTAAATTAATGTGAGAACAGGGACAATATTTTCATGCAATATTGTCAGCAAAATAATACATAAAAATGTTGGGTAACCATGCATAAAAGTCATATAAAAATCTAGATCAACCTTTCTTCTTTATGAAAATAATTTATGTTTATGCATGTTTCTTAAAACAAACACAAAAAAAAACGTTTACCTAAGGCTACCTAAAATAAGTGGTATAAGTAATATAATACATTTTAAACTATCTGCTACCAATTATTTTTCGTTGAAATTTGGCATGCCCATAGAAAATGCATGTAGAAATATGACTGAATAAAAAAAAAAGTCGGCTCAACATTTCTTCTACTACAAATTCATGTGATAACACCAACCAAATATTCAGAAGCAAAATAATCGATAAAAAGTGTAAAACTATGCATAAATTTCTTAAATAAAGCAAGATTAGCTTTTCTTCTTTCCAAAAAGTATCTATGTGTATATCTGTTTCTAAAAAGAAATTCCACAAAATTACGTCTGCCTCACGCTGCCTTAAAAAAGAGTGAAAAAAACGAGAACCAAAATTTTAGCACAAAAATCGGTTCCGTAAATCGCGATATCCGCGTACCTACTTTTAAGTCGTTTTATTGATGGCACAATAAGAAGAAATATATGTGCCGAAGTTTGTATCCCTTCTTACTTAAAAGACAATAAAATGCATTGTATTGCTCTAAGGTAATTCAATTTACTTTTTTTTCATAAATAATTATCTTATTGTATTTTATTACAAAATTTAATACTTTTTTGTAAAAATATTTATTGTTAATACTTTTTTGTAAAAATATTTATTGTAAAAATATTTATTGTTAAAATCTCGTTGACTAATCAATATTTAATAAGTGTCAACACCGTGAAGTGATTTTGACATGTATGAATATAATATGTTCATGATGTATGTATTAAACTCCTACATGTCAAAATCGTTTGTGGGTTTGTCTGAATTCTTGACTATTGATTTGATTTATGAATTTGTTTAAAAAGCAAAGATTTTTTACTCAATTTTAATTTTATTGATAAAAGAAGTTTAGCTCTTAAAAACATGAAGTAAATGTATATTTTTTTTCCTAAGGTCTGAAGCATCTGGAAGTTGTATGTACAGCTCTGCATCATTATTTTTTGTTGCTGACAATACACTGATGGATGTGTTAAGAGTTTTAACATCCCTTGAAATTTATATACATGCTGATTATTACTGTAAGCATTCTTTAATTTCAAAACTATTTTCTGATTATAGTTCTCATTTTATTAATCTCAAAAGTTTGTTGTGTATATCAGTATTTCATTCTGCATTAGATTCTGGCTTCGAAAATAATAATATTATTAAAGCTGAAGCAATTGCAAACTGTGAGAGCACAGAGAAATGGGCTGGTTTTTTATGTTTGTTAGGTTTATCATCGGTTCTTTCTTGTAATATCGTTTCCTGTTACCCAGATTTTGGTGTTGAAAAGTATAAAATATTTTTTAACCAAGAGATCTCACCACTTACTCCCATTAAATTAAATCGTCTAATGTCCAATTAATTTCAGAGGTTTTTAATATAGTTCGCGAACTTTCTTATTTTTTTAATTATTCAGAAAATAGACAAAAGTTTTTAGAAGCTAGCATTTTAGAGCGAGAACCTCAAACGCATAAAAAAAAATTAAAAGATATCTGTAGAACTAGATGGATTGAGCATATAGATGGTTTATACACTTTTCTTGAGCATTATTTATCTATTTTCCATGCTTTATGTATCATGGCTTCCCTTGAGAGTTCTGTTAACAAAGACACACAAAACAAATCTTCTACTTTTTAAATTCCATTGGCACTTTTCAATTCGTCTTTACTTTAGTTCTGACAACACGTGTCTTTGATTTTACTTTACCTGTTATCGGTTACTGCAATCAAAAACTATTGATATCTTAGACGGTTTGTACCTTATTACAGCTCTTAAAAGTACATTTATTTCCATCAGAAACGATATAGATAGTTTTCATAATAACTGCTATGAAGCAGCATGTTTGCTTTCAAGTAAAGGTGAAATTTTTGTTTTAAAACCAAGAACCTGTTCTATTCAAAAAAATCGTTCTAATGTTCTATCAGAGTTTGTTTCAGAATACTTCAAAAGAGCTGTTACTATCCCTCTTATAGATCATGTATCTACATCTATATCTACAAGATTTAAATCAGAAACTGTAGCTGCATATAAAGGGTTATCAATTATTCTATTTAATATTATTTCTTTTCTTAAAAGACCCAAAACCCAATTGTGTTGGAGGAAGCAGTTTGAAACATTCTGTGATTTTTATACAGATGATTTCCCTAATATCAGTGCCTTAAATGGGGAACTAGTTTTTTGGGAAAAATACTGGGAAAGTTTCTCTGGGACTATTCCTGACAATATATCTTTAACTCTTAAATCGATATCATTTCCTGGATTTGAAAATATTAAGATAGCTTTAAGGATACTTGGGACACTTCCTGTTACTTCATGTGAGTGTGAGAGGAGTTTTTCTGTTATACGTCGGTTAAAAGACTATATGAGAACAACAATGTCAGAAGATCGACTTAACGGTTTGGCATTAATGTATATCCATCAAGAAATTGTTCCTTGTATTGATAATGTTATCAATAGATTTTTTATAAAAAATAGACGACTTGATTTCAATGATTAGTGTCTATACTGTTTATTCTATAACACACCAACAACTTTTGAAATTTTTGTCTATTATCACCTCTCTTCATATAACAGCTAACAAATAGGCATGGAAACCCCTGGAAAGGCCAAAACTTCAATAGTGTCCTTAACAGGACGGGTTAAATGTAAACCCATACTTTTGTTTGGGATTAGCTATATGATTAGTGATCATAGTTCAGGCAAACATTAACCTTCTCTTTTTGACAATCTCTTTATATCATTTTCTAGCAACAAAATAAAAAATTAAAAAAATTATTTTCAATAAATTTTCTCTCAATCAACCTAATAATATACATAAGTTTTTGTGCCATTTAAATCAGTTTTTGCTGTAGTTGTCAAAACCATTAGCTTTCTTTTTATTTCATCAAAAATGATCTTCTTTTATGTTGTTAAAGCTTAACTTGGTATGTCTTTTTTTTTTAATCTTGTTATATAAGAATATATATAACTTTTTATTTCACAATGTATATAAATCCATTTGTATTTTTTTCTTTCTCTTTTCAGTTCTTAATTTTTCTTTCTCTGATTGTCCATGTCCGGAATAAATATGTTCCTAGACATGCTGATGAGCCCTGATATTGGGCGAAACAATCATTTGTTGGTTTATATATTTATTATATATTTATATAGAAAAAAAGTTTCAAAGTAAAACTAAGATATGAGCTTCTCAATGAAATAGCAAAAAGAAAATCCCTTAAAATCCTCCAGCCCAAGGGCAGGAGGGTTTAGGGGATACATAGGGGGCAGGCTATGGGAACGATGGCCTCCCTTAGATGTTTTTTTTATAAGAATATTTTGTAAAAACGTAAGTAAATTTGGTAGGTTATTTAAAAGTGGCATAAAATTGTGTAGTCTAAATTCTTTTTTTTTTTTGGGCTTGCCTGCTTAAAAATCGTTAGACCTGTAAATCACCCCCTTTAATCGTTTGGATCGAATGAAAAGAAAATTTGCCCACCCCCCCTTTACTACATAGTCTTACTTATTCCCCCTCCCCCCCCTGATTTTTTCTATTTGCTTTGTGGGCGTAGTTGCGTCACTTACAACATGGCGTAAGGCGCATTTTTTTGACGGGGTAAATTAAAAACCTGCGTCCGCCCCTGGGTGTGCGAATTACGACAAAAACTGTTATTTTAGACACGAATATAGATAATATAATATACTATGATTATAAGTAGAAAAGTAATTCATAAGCTATTAAGATAAAGCAATAATATAAAAAGAAATAATGTTTAGAAAAAAGAAGAATAAGAGGCAAAAAAAAAAAAAAATTTTAACTCCTGAAAACTTACGCTCAAACAGAAATACGTCTTGTCGACTCAAAGGTTAAAGCGCAAAAAAAAATTAGCATTTCTAAATTTGTTTTTGACTATATACACTTAGTTTGTTTTAAACTTGTCTGTTAATTATTGGCATTTTAAAATAGGTACCAAAGATATGTCATTTTGTCATATGTTTAAATTAATCATATTTGTGAAAAGCCAAAATAAATATCCGGTATAAAGCCATCTGATTATGTCAGACAGCCAAGATCACTGGTAGAGTTTTAAAATAAAAGGCTACATAATTAATTTCTTTTGTATACTGGTACCTATATACTGAAGAGACAAATCAAATGAACAGCATTAATGCATTGAGTATGTATTGATGCTGTTGAATTGGTTTGATTTATTGAGGCTGTAGATTTATTGATGGACTTTATGGACTTTATTGATGACTGGATTATTGAGGCTAGGGATTATTATGTCCAACATTTACATCATGCAATTTACATAACCTGATTCATTTGTTATAAATTTTGGAATGACCGCTTTTTGATATGTCTGCCTTTTCTTTTAAAAATTCTTGTGTCTGAAATTGTTATATTTGTTTTTTGTAAGAAGATACCATTTGCTCAAATTGTCAAGCATTTAAGCAAAATGTAAGTAATTTGAATTGAATTAAAAAACTAACAAAGTGATCACTAGTGTTAAGAAAAGCTATTTATTAAAACGAATTTTGATTCTTTACTTTGTGAATGTTTCATTTCGGGTTCTTTATTGTGCCATGCAATTCAACTTATATCAAAATATATTTTATTTGCCAAAATAACCCTGTAAAAGGAAAAAACTTTACAGAAATCTGAATTCGAGCACAAAGATATTTTTTTTAAGGGTAAAACAAGAGAAGTTTTTTTCCATTACGTCATGATTTGTTCAATTAAATATATATATATATATATATATATATATATATATATATATATATATATATATATATATATATATATATATATATATATACATATATATATATATATTTTTTTTTTTTTTGAGGAGGAGGAGGAAAAGGGGGGGCGGGGAGGAAGGAAGGAGGAGGGAGGAAGGTAAGAGGGGGCAGTTTTATTAGTTTTGCAGGAATTAATTGAGGAACTGGATTTTATTGAGAAATTGTTTTTTCTATATAAGATGATGTTTCTTAACGATTTGCAGTCAAAAAATGCAAAAGCAGAAAAACTTAGATGAGCATCCAATAGCAAGTTAGTTCAGTTTCTGGTATTTGTGGTAATTCTATTTGTTTATTCCGAAATCTTTTTATTACGTTTTGAAAATGCTTATAATTAGGT